TTCCGATGCTTGACAACCCTTTCCATGAAGAAATTTTTCCTAATATCCAATCTAAACCTCCCCTGGTGCAACTTGAGGCCATTTCCTCTTGTCCTAGCACTTGTTACTTGGCAGAAGAGACCGACCCCCAACTCTCTACAACCTCCTTTCGGGTAGTTGTAGAGAGCAGTAAGTTCTCCCCTCAGCCTCCTTTTCTCCAGACTAAACAATCCCAGTTCCCTCAGCTGCTTGTGCTCTAGACCCTTCACCAGCTTTGCCCTTCTTTGGACACACTCCAGCACCTCAATGTCCTTCTTCCAGTGAGGGGCCCAAAACTGGACACAGTATTCCAGGGGCTGCCTCACCAGTGCTGAGTACAGGGAGGCGATCATGTCCCTGCTCCTGCTGGCCACGCTATTCTTGATACAAGCCAGGATGCTCTCGGCCTTCTTGGCCACCTGGGCAAACTGCTTGGCTCATGTTCAGCCGGCTGTCTACCAGCACCCCCAGGTCCTTTTCCACCAGGCAGCTTTCCAGCCACTCTTCCCCAAGCCTGTAGCGTTGCATGGGGTTGTTGTGACTGAAGTGCAGGACCCGGCACTTGGCCTTGTTAAACCTCATACAATTGGCCTTGGCCCATGGATCCAGCCTGTCCAGATCCCTCTGTAGAGGCTTCCTACCCTTGAGCAGTTCCCGTCAAATGTCCTTGTGTTGGCCCTGTCACTGTCCTTCGCACTGAATATAACTAGAGCTGATACGGTGTAGTAATTTCTGTCCCCAGCAATGCATTTTCATTATCTTTCTGTTAGCCCCTTTAGCATATAGGTAATGCTTGTCCTGTAATATTTCTTCTCCTAGAAGGTTCACTGGTGGGACCAGATTTCATCAAGCACTGGTTAATAACTGCACTTTAATATTTACTCACCATAAGGCAGAAGGCAGTTAGCCTTCTCTCTAAGCATTTATAGGACAACAAAAGATGCCTGCAAGTATTTGTCAGAATGGGTGTGCCTTTTCTTTTCTGCCTGCAAAGGTAGAATGAAAACCACATACATTCTTAAAAGTAAAACTGTAGTGCTATAAAAGAAGTAAGGTAACTTACACTGTAGGCACTGTTTTCTGAAATAATAGGCACTATTTTTGCACTTCTTAATAAGTCTGACCAATCATAAAAGCCTCTCAGTATCTTTGGTATTTGTACCCAAGAGAAGAAATGACAAGTATTTTTTTTTATATGTCCAGTCTTTATGGAGTTATTTATTTATTTATTTAAATAAATATTAGGAAGAACAAGAAGAGTTCTTTGTGTGGTTTCTCTCACTGCCAACAAACGCTGACAGGATGTGAGAACAAAATGTAGACAAGAAAACTATTCTATTATTCACTAAAAATTATGTTAGTCATATAAATAATCCAGTTAAACACCACTTTTAAATAAGAAATTTTGCACTAGTGGAAAACCTAATGAATGTTGTGCTAATAAACCGAAGATACAAAGATTAAACCTTACCAGTACATTAATTTCAGCTGGAGGAGAGGCTATGTTAAATTACCTGTTACAAAAATTCTGCACATTAAGGACATTAATCATATTCTTACAAGACCCTTTATTTTGGAAAAATACATGTTTTAAGTATTTAACATAGTAAGGCACAGGCTTGTTACATATTTTATTATTTATTAATTAATATAGCATGTATTCAATAATATTCTTTTATAAGTAGTGTTTTATCTTGTTCTTTTGTTTATATCCTGTTTATTCTTTGGGTTTTTTATATATCTTGTATAGTGCTATAATTAAAAAAAACCTATATATTTGCAGTACAATAATGTTCTTGAGCTTTAGTTACATACTAGCTTCTTGTTACGGTAGCTGCTTCATAAACAGTGTACAAAATATAATTCCTTTGACTTTTCAGTCAAACTCTTCACATTTATCCTTGTTCTTGTTGTTTGTATTGTTGTTCCATTAAGTAGATTTGATGGAAAATAGAAGCAGGTATAAGCCACACAGCTCCATTTATTTGTGTACTAATTGCTTGTTTAGTAAATTTAGTGTTGTCACTAGTTTCTAGACTATTGCAACTTCTTTGAATCCTTGCTGTATTTGCAGTTCCATGATTTCAGTTTGTATTAATAGTAATTTTTATACTGCTGCTATAGCATAATCTTGTCTTTAAGACAAAGCACAGTTTCTGAAACTGAATTGATTTTTCATACTTATGCAGGATGTGAAAAATCGACGAAATCCGCGCCTTGTACCTTATGCTCTTTTGGATGATCGGACAAAGAAGTCAAACAAAGACAGTCTTCGAGAAGCAGTCCGTACCCTGCTAGGCTATGGTTACAACCTGGAAGCTCCTGATCAAGATCATGGTAATTATTTTTGGTTTTTTGTTCTTCAAAAAAAAAAAAAAAAATTCACTCCAGTACTGGATTTTTTGGTCCAATAAAACAATCTTAACAGGTATAGAGTCTTCAAAGCTAATAGGTGCTTTTCTCTGTCTTCTCTTGTTTATATTTCCCTTTGATCTTACTTTTCTTACTATTTCCTTTACTTGTCCTGTGACCTCAAATGAAGAATTACGAAATGAAACATTTTTACATTTTAAATCAATGATACAATTCTCTGTATTTCATACACTTCCTTTCACTGTTCATTTTGTAGATGCGATAGTTCAGATGAATCAAAATTAAAAGCTTAAGCAATTTAAATCAGGGTTGAGTACCACAAGACACAACACTAAAATACAGAAAATCAAGAGAACGTTTATCATATTGCTCAATATATGGCCTTATGTTGGGGGAAAAAAAATGTATGGTTACATTTTAAATATGTGCATAAATACATGAAGTTCCCCAAATTAATTTTAAGTTTTTAATTAAAAATTTCTTAATTAGTACTATATTTCGTTTTTCATGACAGAATAGCAAAATTGCTAAGAAAAAGATCATATGTAAATGCAGTAGATGTGAATTTGATATTCCTACAATTTTAACTCTAAATAATCAAGCATTCTACAGTTCATGCACAATCTTTTATTTAAACACTTAAAGCTACAAGATGAAATTTTCAAAGACAAATGCCAAAAGCGATATTCTTGGTACTGTACTGTCATTCTGGAACACTAACTGCACATATTGAAAGGAAATACTAACATAATAGATATAACCCCTCAGCAACCATATTCTTGAAGTTCACTTGGAGATATGGAATATGGAATAATCGAATCAAAATTGAAACTTACATCCTTATAATCTCAGCAAAGTGTGGAAATGAGAGAAGTGTGTCTAAACCTTATCTTATGAATATATTGATTAATAAATTATTATTTTTCCTGCTCTATATAGTGGCAGTATTGTTAAATTTGGACCTATTTAGGCCATAGACCTTCAGTAAAGTATTTCTACAGAAGATCTAACTCACACCCAAAACGTACACAGGGAACCTGCCATTTTCAATTTCTTTTCAAAAGCACGTACGTGCTCTGATCCTCAGCTTTTATGAGAGGCTGCTATTAAATTACACTTTTAAATATGAGGCATCACCGATACCATGTGTGTGTAAGAAGGCTGGATTGCTGAATGGGCAAAACAATCTGTTTCCTAGTGGAGTAGATTGTATTGGTGGCAAAATGCCATGGTCTCACTGTTAAATCTGCCTTTGCCTAGTCTGGAGAGTTTAAGGCTGCTGCATATTCTTGTCATTTCTTCCCTTCCCACTGTGGGAAGGAGATCCTGTGTAGAGAGAGCGAGGGTGGCTTCTGCTTGGTTCTAAGAAAGGGAGTTGGCTTTTGTGTCTTTTGAAGATAAGGGGGCTGTCTAGTGGTGTAGGGTGAGAGGCAGGGAGAGCACCCGCATTTTCCACAATTTCCTCCAAATCCCACTGAACAATATTAATCCCTTTTCCTCATTTACAGCTCTGAGTACCATGTGCCTCTGCCTTTTCTTGGGAATGAACTGCTGGAAAATTTTTTTTTTTCCTTACAATGCAGAGATCCTTGAGCTAGGTCTGTGTATGGAGATACTAATGAAATGTAAAGAACACAATTGCAATCCTTGCATCTGAAAGGTGTCATCAGTACTGTTGCAAAGTTCCTGGATGAAAGGACCTGCAGAACAGTGTCCCACAAACTGGTCTTTCTTAAACAAGACTGGAATTGCATTCAGCAAAAGATTTTTATACTCATTTTGTGGATTTAAATTTTACAGTTTATGAGCCTTTCAAGTTTTTGAGATGCATAGAACATGTCACAGGGATCCCCTTTCATCAGCAAAAATCCATAGTTATTAAAGGATTTAGAGCCCTCTAGTGGTGTTCTGCATCACTGTTCATTAATTTTATTTTAAACACTGATTTACAAAGCTCTATAGCGTCATTTTTTTATGCTATATTTTTATTCTTACTGGTTTCCCACAGCAGCTGTATTTCTGGGATTGTTTAGAATCTAGAAAGCATTAGGTTACTTAGAATCTAAAAAGACAACAAATTTTCAGTTCCTATGCTTTGTGGTTTTTCATCTCCTGAACAGGTGAGGTACTGAGGGTCTTCATAATGGTTTTAAGGCACTACTTGTGTAGACCACCAAAGAGAAAATTTTACTGATAAAGAATTATGTGGCAGAGAGTTCAGAGCTGCTTACAGGAAATTTAATGAGCCTGACCCAACTGAAGTCAGGCATTTGGTGGCATGAGAAGTGATAGTAAGTTCTGAGGGATGTGATTTTATAGGCTATTCAAGATAATATTGGAAATATGAATCTTGATGCGGCTGAGAAAACAGAAGAGAATGGGAGAGGTTCTTAACATGGTCTAACAAACAGGTAGGTGCGGACATATTTAAGCTCGTAAGAAATTCAGGAAGAGGAGGAATTACAGTGATCAGACTGGAATATTGAATTTTCAAAGGCTGCACAGGCTTTAATACCTTGAAAATTTGTGGAGGAAGATCCAGAATGCTTCAGGCATTCTTTTTCCTAATCTGAGAATAAGAGTTAATCCCTGAGTTGTGTGATTTGATTAATAGAAAGAAAACTGGATAAAATACCAGAGAACAGAGTAGTTGAGAAAACTTCAGAAAGAAAGATCAAGGGTTTGATTCAGCATTACTTCTTGTGCTTTGTGAAACAGTTTTCATCTTTTTAAAGTGTGATTTTTGTAATTTCAAGCTACTTTATGGTTTGAATTGATAATAAGATCTTGGAAAGAAGTGTTAGACTGTAGGACTGTGTAATAAGTAAGGAACAGCAAGGGAGGTTTGTATGTACTCACCACACAAGGTTGTACTTGAGGCTATTTTAGCAGAAGATACTACTTAAAGAAAATGTGTAGAGTAGTGAAAGGCAGCTCAGGGAGCGAAAACACACTATATACTGATATAAAATATTGAAGGAAAGCAGAAAGAAGATAGGATTAAAAGTGTTTAAAAGGATGTTGGGTATGGCCATCTCCAAGGCACCAAGTAAGCTCATGAGTAGTAGTATTCAAGTAATATTCATGAGTAAATATTCTCAGGCAATGTTTGAGAACATTTGCCATAGGTAGCAGGTGGGTGCCACATAGCTGTAGGTTAATCAATAAAAGCATTTTTTCAGTGCAGTGTGGGAAGGAAGAAAATCAGAGAAGTAGGTGAGTCTCAAATTTGTGGTTTTGTGAATGACAGAAACAGAAGTACATTTCTGTTGGAACAGGTTGATCTGGAATGGATGGTGGGATAACACAGGAAAAGAGTGGAGGTGGGAGCAAAGGAGTGGGATGAGCCAGAGAGAACTGGGATGGATAGACGGAGAGTTGGATCAGAGCTCAGAGATCCAAGTCCAAAACTTTATTGTTTATTAGTTGTCAAGAAAAAGGGAGAAAATAGATTTATTTATATGTCTCAAAGCAGTACATGTGCCAGCATACTTTTTCTCCCTTTAAAAATCTTTGCTTATACATTACAGAAATGTTATAAAGCAGAAATGTGAGGCGCAAACTAAGCTTGTTTCTACTGCTGTTACAGAGCAGATAGAATAACATGTTTACGTTTTTACCCTTCCCTTGAGTTTTTTCTCCTCTTTCTCTGAAACGGCCCAATAACAACCCAGCTTATGTTTTTTCAGTATTTTTTATGTCGTTATTCTTTCATGGAGTAAGAGAATCAGTGAATACATTTAGAAGCAATAAGTTTAGAAGCAATAAGTTGAATGTGTCAAAGTTTAACTTTAGCCTCCTTTGAAGCTCTGGATGTAGCCATTTTGGTCTTTGAGAAAAGATGCTTATAATTACCTGACAAAGAGTGAATTTTAAGTTAAACACTCTTAAACTAGCTTGTTATGAATCACTTACAATTAAGAGGATTTTGGAATGAAGTATAGTAAGCTAAGATAAGCACGTGTCATCATGCTACAGATACTTAACTAAATGAATCAGTGTCTGTGAAAGCTTTTGTTTTCATGCAGCTTTTAATGTTAATTTATGTTATGCTCCATTGCACAAGACAAGACATGTGAACAAGCTCTTTTTCTTCATCTCAGCTTGACAGTTGACAAACAGTAAATTCGAAGTGCGAAGTGGCAGTTTTTAAGGCACTCTGTGAAATATTGTAGTCACCTGACTATCTGTTCAACAGTTTGAGAGAGAATAAAGAATAGTGAATACCATTCAAATATGGCATCTTGTTATTTCTGATATTTCACTAGCTAAATAATATTTTCTAAATAATACGTTGGCTGTGATTAGGTTTTCCTTTGCTCTTGAACAGTAACTTGCCTTGTCTTGAACAGGAGTTGCCTTTGACACTACTTTTACGCCCTCCTTAAGGGCATCTTTATTCTTTCCAGATTAGCTGCCCTTTATCTTGACAGAAATGAATATATTTTTTCCTGAAGCAGGAGTATAATCACTTTGGGATTTTTGTTGCTGTTAAAGCTTCATGGAAGACTGCCTTTTATGATTCCTATCCTCCATTTTCCATTGCTTCTGCAAAAAAATCTAAATTGCAATCTTCTTTCTATTATTTATTATAGTAACTAAGAAATATATTTTTTTATAACAATGACATACCTAAGAAATCTGTTTAAAAAAAAATAAAAAGAGAGATTAGGTGAATTGATTGCAGTCTCTAAGAAGATGTCTCAGTTGAGGAATCTTGTCTCAAAGACAAATGTTTGTCTTTTATAGTGATTGGAAGATTAATTTAGTTTGTATTTTGTTGGGGTTTGTATATTTGGTGGTTTTGTTTTGTTTAAAATAACTGAGAGCCCAGTTCACAGAATCACAGAATTGTTGGGGTTGGGAGGGACCTCTTGAGATCATCTGGTCAAGCAGGGCCAGCTAAAGCAGGTCATCCAGGACCATGTCCAGATGGGTTTTGATTATTTGATTATCTCCAAGGATGAAGTCTCCACTACTTCTCTGGCAACCTGTTACACTGTTTGACCACCCTCACAATAAAAAATATTTTCTTGTGTTCAGATAGAATTTAATGTTTTTTAACTTGTGTCCATTGCCTCTTGTCCTGTCACCGGGCACCACTGAGAAGAGTCTGGCTCCCTCTTCTTCATTCCCTCCCACCAGGTATTTATACTCATAAATGAGATTGCCCCCTGAACCTTCTCTTCTCCAGGCCCTTACTCATCTTTATGGTCCTGTGCTGTACTTGTTCCAGTAAGTTGGTGTCTTTCTTGCTCTGGGGAGCCCAGAACTGGACCCAGCACTCCGGATTTGGCCTGGCTAGTATTTCTTCACTGAAAGGGTTTTCAAGCATTGGAAGAGGCTGCCCAGGGAAGTGGCTGAGTCTCCATCCCTGGGGGTATTTAAAAGACATGTAGATGTGATGCTTAGGGGACATGGTTTAGTGGCGCACTTGGCAGTGTTAGGTTAACGGTTGGACTTGATGATCTCAAAGGTCTTTTCCAACCTAAATGATTCTATGATTTGAAGTAGAGAGGAAGGATCACCTCCTGGAACCTGTTGGCAAGGCTGTTCTTTATGCAGTCCAGGATACTTCTGTCATTCTTTGATGCGAGGCTGCATTACTGGCTTATGTTCCACTTGTCTACCAGGACCTCCAGGTCCTTCTCTGCCGAGCTGGTTTCCAGCTGCACAGCCCCCAGTGTATTCTGTTGTCTGGGGTTATTTCTCCCCAGGTGCAGGACTGCATTTACCCTTGTTGAACTTCACGAGATTCCTCTCAGTGCAATTCTCCAGCCTGTTGAGTTCCCTCTGAATGGCAGCACAGCCAGCTGGTACATCAGCTGTTCTTTCCAGTTTTGTGTCATCTGCAGACTTGCTGTGGGTGTACTGTGTTGCATTACCCAGGTCATAAATGGATGTTAAACAGCATTGGCTCCAATATCCCTGTAGACCCCAGTATGCCCTGGGGTACTGCCCTACAGCACCCGTATTAATCTCCCTGCATATCTTGACCTATAAGTTCTGAACTGGCTCCTGAACCATCCCAAGGCAGTTCTCCATGCATTCCAGCTGCTCTCACATAAAGGGCAACTCTTCCTCATAATCTTCCCAGCCTGTCCTTCCTAAAAAACATGTATCCATCCATTGCAATACTCCAGTCATGAGTTATCCCACCATGTTTCCATGATCCCAATGAGGATTGTAGCCCTGTAACTGCACTCAGACTTCTAAGTTCTCCCCTTTTCCTTCCCCTACCCGCCCCCCTCCCCGAATGAATTCGTATAGAGTCATTTCAGAGAGGTACCCAAACGTGCTGATTCCCTGGCATGGGCATGGGTGTTTTCCCCATAAGGCTGTTCTGCAGGCACTTCTTTGCATGCCTATGCTCAGAGGGATTCCTTTGCCTTTTGTTTTCAATGCTTTCATTTCGTCAGTAGTTGAATACAGTACTTTCTGTGTTGGGGTTTTTTTTCTTTACTTTTTTTTTAAACCTTCCAGCAACAAGACTGGACGTGTGCAGTGGGATAATGGAAAAATTCAGGATCTTCCGCACAGAAAAGACTTACGCAGTGAAGGCTGGGAAGTGGTACTTTGAGTTTGAAGCAGTTACTGCAGGAGACATGAGAGTCGGCTGGACCAGGCCGGGTTGTCTGCCAGATCAGGAACTTGGCTCAGATGAAGAAGCTTTTGTTTTTGATGGCTTTAAGGTTTGTATATGTTTATCCATAATAACATGAGTGACTGCAAAACTTTTAATTTTGTGTCTTATTCCATGTGTCATTGCCTCAACTTAATTGCCTTCTCTTCTTTCATTTGTGTTTTATGAAATTATTTCTCTCTCTCTCTCTCATTGAGGGCCTAGGTGGAATAAGGAGGATCAATGTCACCTGAAAAATTAATGAGCAGGGTTTTGGCGTTTCTATAATTATTTCACAGCTTCACGGTATTTGTACAGTATACATAAAACATTGAAAATCTAAGTGACTTACTCAAATTCAAAATACTGGCAGAGCTGTAATTAACTATGAATCATGTCTTTAAACTTTTACTCTGTTCTCTCTATAAGTAGTACCGTTAGGGAATAAATATGGTTAAGATTATTAGCAGTAAGTGTTTGAGGCAAACTTTGATACAAGTTTTTTTATAAGAATGTAAAAGTTACACACAGTATGCCTAGGTTTTCATGGAAATCCTTACAGTTTAGAGTAAATGAAATATGATAGAACCAGTAATTTTTTCTCAAATTTGACTATGCATGAGACAATGACAGGTTGAAATTTGGTAGTAAAAATATATAGGAAAACAAACTATTTTATATGTTACTGATTCTCATCAAAATAGATTAAATGACTTATTAAAGCTTTTTATTTCAGTAGGAAGGCAAGTGCAACTGCTATCCGAACCATAATTGCTATTAAGGCTGCTGATGACTCATGTCAAAATGTTTCTTGTATCTGATGTTGGAATTAATTTCCTTTATTACTATTACAATATGTAACAGAAATCAACAGTATTCCTGGCTGTTCCTGCTCAGATCAAGCTCTCAAGCTGTATTTTATTCATCTTATTGGATTTTAATTTTTTTCCCAGTCTTGTATTACATGAGAAGAAGCTTTAAAAGGAGAACTGAAAAGTTGGTCTTGTAAAATATCTGATTGGCTTAAGTAAACTATTCAAGTCCTGTGTCTTTACTAGAATAGCTGTAGTAGTTTGCCTTCTGAATCTTAGGTTTTGATCTTTAGGTCTCAATCCACAAAGCTGTTTTGTTGTCTTTGAATTTGATGGATTCTCTCCTTGGTTGGAGAAAACTTGACCTTCAAGATAGACAGAAAGGCTCATTTTTATATTTTTATTTGGTAGGATTTTGAGGATGGATACAGAGGGTAAAAATTACTTACAATGGAATATTTAAATTGGGAACCTATTTGTTATTAACACTGTTTTGGTTTATGTTACAATAGTTCTTAATAGATGTTAATTCAAGACCCTATCCAAAACCCTTCCAGTCTTTGACCTGAAGGTCATAGAATCGTAGTCACAGACTCGTTTAGGTTGGAAAAGACCTTTAAGATCATCCAGTCCAACCATTAACCTACACTACCAAGTCCACACTAAACCAATCAAGGGTAGACTAGACTAAATCATGTCCCGAAGTGCCGCGTCTACCCGTTTTTTTGAATGCCTCCAGGGATAGTGACTCCACCACCTCTCTGGGAAGCCTGTTCCAATGCCTGACCACCCTTTCCGTAAAGAATTTTTTCCTAATATCCAACCTAAACCTCCCCTGGCGCAGCTTGAGCCCATTTCCTCTCGTCCTATCACTAGCTACTTGGGAGAAGAGACCAACACCCACCTAACTCTACAACCTCCTTTCAGGTAGTTGTAGAGAGCGATAAGGTCTCCCCTCAGCCTCCTCTTCTCCAGACTAAACAACCCCAGTTCCCTCAGCCGCTCCTCATAAGGCCTGTGCTCCAGACCCTTCACCAGCCTTGTTGCCCTTTTCTGAACACGCTCCAGTGCCTCAATGTCTTTCTTGTATTGAGGGGCCCAAACCTGGACACAGTACTCCAGCGGCGGCCTCGCCAGCTCCGAGTACAGGGGCACAATCACCTCCCTGCTCCTACTGGCCACACTATTCCTAATGCAAGACAGGATGCTCTTGGCCTTCTTGGCCACCTGGGCACACTGCTGGTTCATGTTCAGCCGGCTGTCTACCAACACCCCCAGGTGCTTTTCAGCCAGGCAGCTTTCCAGCCACTCTTCCCCAAACCTGTAGCGTTGCATGGGGTTGTTGTGACCAAAGTACAGGACCCGGCACTTGGCCTTGTTAAACCTCATACAGTTGGCCTCGGCCCATCGGTCCAGCCTGTCCAGGTCCCTCTGCAGGGCCATCCTACCCTCCAGCAGATCGACACTCCCACCCAGTTTGGTGTCGTCTGCAGACTTACTGAGGGTGCACTCAATCCCCTCATCTAGATCATTGATAAAGATATTAAACAAGGCTGGTCCCAAAACAGAGCCCTGGGGAACACCGCTTGTGACCGGCTATCAACTGGACTTAACTCCATTCACCACTACTCTCTGGGCTCGGCCACCCAACCAGTTTTTTACGTAGTGAAGACTATGCCCGTCCAAGCCATGAGCTGCCAGCTTCCCAAGGAGAATGCTGTGGGAGACTGTGTCAAAGGCTTTGCTAAAGTCCAGGTAAATGACATCCACAGCCTTTCCATCATCTACCAGGCGGGTCACCAGGTCATAAAAGGAGATCAGCTTGGTGAAGCAGGACCTGCCTTTCATGAACCCATGCTGGCTGGGCCTGATCCCCTGGTTGATCTGCAAAGGTCAGTCATACAAATCATTAATCATGCCCTCAGCTACTCTGGAATCTATCAAGCAGCTCAGAGTGCTTGTCCCATCCACAGACAATTCTGTTCCTTCCAAAATCTGGTATGGCAGGAATTTTAATTTATTTTGTACACAACATTTTTAGAATTATACTTAAGGAAACAATAACCTTTGTTTGGAAGCAATGAATTTATAGGCTACTAGATTTTATTTAATCAATTACTTGATTGCAATTGCTTAAAAAAAGTTTGTGAAGCAGCTATTTAACATTGTAATTGATAGCATATTATTTTCATTACAAGTCTTTCATGGAGCTTCTGCAGAAAAATAAGCCATGCTCTTACTTGTTACTAAAATGTTGAAATAGCAATTTTCCTTGTCAGCTCCCTTAGCAACGTTTTACAATACTGATGTGAGGGGTGCTTGCAGAAAGTTAATTGTTGAATTTCCATTTTCAATGTCAACTTGGAGTACTCACAGGCATTGTTTTGGAATGATAAGCTGTGCAAGTGTTAATTTTAGTGCTGTCTTAACTGGGGGGGGCTGACTATTAATTGTACCACTAAGTGAGAGAAGAACACATACATTGTCACTATTACTCATTGAAATTCTTTTAAATCCTTTCCAGGCACAGCGGTGGCATCAGGGTAATGAGCATTTTGGCCGCTCTTGGTTGGCAGGAGATGTTGTTGGATGTATGGTTGACATGAATGAGCACACTATGATGTTCACTTTAAATGGTGAAATCCTGCTTGATGACTCAGGATCAGAACTTGCATTCAAGGACTTTGAAGTTGGTGACGGTAAGTACCGCAATACATTGTGCTGTTAACTTGCTGTTGTTGCCCAATTTTTGCTCTGGCTTCCCTTGAATGTGGTGTGCTTCTTGTTGTTTCCTCCCTGTGCTGGGAACTACCCCTTGTCCTTTTCTGTATTTCATTAGTATCAAGCCTTTAGAAAGGAGGCATGTTGGGTGTGAGGATGAGGCAAGGCCTTTTTCTGTGGTCAACTTTGCAGCCGTCTTTTGTGATCAGTCCTTTTGACTATTTTGCAGGGTTGTGTCTGGGGTGGCAAATTCATGACCTTTAACTTTTCATCTGCAGCAGGTCACCATATGATATAATAGAATCATAGAATGAATTAGAATGGTTTGGGCTGGAAGGGACCTTTGAAGATCATCTAGTCCAAGCCCCCTGCCATGGGCAGGGACACCAAATTTTATGTAGATCAAGTACTGAAATACTACCAAATTTTTGTCAAATTAGTGAGAACATATGGTAGGGAGCTTAAGCCAGCTTTAAGGTTTTGTTTTAGCTCTGGGAGGAGAAATGACACCTGATCCAGGATAAAGACATCTGGTACAAAGTTAGCCTCCAAATTTTTTTACTTAATTCTAAACCAGCAGATTGGGTTTTGTGCCTGTTGTTGTAGTGTTCTTGGTGCAGCTGTCAGAGTCTACAAGCAGGTTTTAGTTTACCATGAAGCCATAACTTATGAGATTGCAAAAGATGGCAAAGATTGTGAGGTTGCATCAGGTTCCAAATTCATTCTATACCACAAAAGTATTTTTGTTTATAAATTTAATTACATACTTGTGTGTGAATAGGTACATAAAAGGGTAAGAAATTACATTAATGTAGATAACTGCCTAAAATTTCTGAACTATGCTAATATGAAAAAAATATTTTAAGCTTTAATCTTTCCTTTTGATTTATAGTAGGTACATATATTCTATCACATAAATTATACATCTGTTAAATAATACATCTGTGTCTGAGAGATAAAATTAAGTTTTTTTGAACAGTAAAAGCTGCAAATGATACTTCTGGGTTACCGATCCCTATTCCTAGGAGAAATATGAATCTTATACCTATTAATTAGGTAGTTCCCTGCTTGAATTTTAACCACTACTTCCATCTGGATTTCAGAGTATTTTACTTTCAGGAGTGCTTTGGGAGAAGAATTTTATTTTTTCCCTTCTTCTGCCATGCCGTAGGAATTAGGAATAATTTGATTTGATTTACAATGAGATAATTGCCACCAGTTTTCTAAACTCATGCCCATTACTGCCTTCAGATTTCCATAGGTACTATGATAACATGATGAGGGAAAGGGATGTGTGAATTGGCTTACTGTTAGTGGTATAGGCATAAAATCATCCTGGTGCCAGTTACTAGGCAATATAATCCCAGTGAGGAGTGAGGGATTCTGAGAGAAACTGGAATTCCATGAAATTCTGAGGACAGCCTGTTTAATCACTATTTTGATTTCAAAGTTGATGAAATCACAGTGGTGTAGTTTTTGTGGTACTTGTTTCTAGCTGCAGGTTCAGATTTAAACAGATCTCTGTTGAGTCTGAAACTGTTAAAGTAGTTCCCAGTTTGACATGGAGCCCGAAGGCCTTGCTAATCATGTCAAAGACTTAATGTCAGTGTCAAGCCTCCCTGATTTTTCACAATATCCCTTTAATTCACATTAAGTTCCTCTAGTGTCGTGTTTGTAAGAAAAGAGTTTGCCATTGAAATAAGATCTCCTATTCTGTTTTCAAAGGAATGTGCTGATTTCAGATTTAATAACTCCAGATCAATATTTGGAAATATTATGGGTATTTCATATACAGTTTGGGGAGGGGGTATGTGTGTATGTGTGTGTACATACAAACACAAATATGAAATATCCAAATTAAATATTACTTTCATAGAGCTTTCTTTTGTTTCTAGGTTGGCTTTAGTTTGGTTTTGTTAATGGCTCTTGCTTAAGAGCATTGAGACCTGTCTGCAGGTCACTTCTATCAGTGAATCGTATGCATGCCATGTGCTGCTGCAGACAGAGACGTTTCGCTTCTAGTGAAAAGATAAAATTTCTGGTCAGAGCCCAGTGTCCTGCTTTGAAGGATGCAGCATGACTATAAATCAGTCCTGTAGTTTTAATTTACTAAGGAACAGTGAAAAGGGAATATGGTGCTTGCCAGCTTACTAATAAGGCTCATGTACTGCGTCTTAGGTTGTACTGCCAACAAGAAGAGCTCCTTGGGATTATGGCAGACTACTTTGTGAGATACCATCTCAGTAGTAAAATTGCTAAACATAATTGTATATTATTATGCATTTGTGTAAGAGAAATTTCACACTGTATATATAAACAAGTACACTGTGCAAACCATATTTTGTTTTGTCAACTCATGACCTTTGTGGGCATGAACTGTTTGTAGTAAGTGTTTGATAAATTGGGTCAGGAAGGTCATCTTGTATTCTCAAAAGTAGGAACGTTATAGAAAGTGTTGCTGTCCTATGCTTTTGCCACATGTGACAGACAATGCTAGAGGGTTACTTTTCTGGTGGTAGTGTTGAAGTCTTTCTACTTGTTTAGCTATTTCATACAGTAAAATAAAAGTTTTGCTCCATAGCCTAGTTATGCACATGGAGATTAAGAGCCAGGTCATGGGTAAATCATCTTTTTATATAGCCTCCAGCATGCAAGGGCTACACAGGATCTGTAAAGTATTACATCCAAAATGGCTGGATGCCCATTTAGAGAAGGGTACTGATAGTTAATTTCTATTCCATAGTAAGACACGCAACTGCCTTACCAGCACACTCCCTATAAGATGAGATACCATATCTTTAGCAGATACAGAAGAGCCCTGAAACACCTTAATGACAACTATACCATTGGCAAATCAGTGCAGAATTTCACCGGAGATGGAAGTAGTGCTTGCATCATTAGGACTGGCATGGGTATTTATATTCCATTCATACAGAACGAAAGCTATTGTATAGTTATGATTACTTGCAGGAGTTAGCTACATGTACAGTACCATTCTGGCATCAATTAAATTTGTACTGGCAAGAGAGATTGTCATCTTGATTCCATATTGGCTATAGTTACAGAGTTGATGGAAAGTACTAGATTGAGTAATAACATCAAGGAGAGTTTTACCTGTGTAGGAATTTTGTTCTGGGTTTCTTTATTTTCTTTCGCGGAATCTTCCAAATACTCATTTACATTTTATTTGTGTGTGTGTGTAAAATATTTGCTTCCTGTCTAACAGTGAATCTAACTGTGAGATCTTTTTTTCTGAGCCCACAGGAAAACGCATGGGTAGGAGAGTTAACAGTTTATGTGCATTCTATTTAGGAAGGGTAAATATTAGTAATATTTTAAATATTTTACATATTTTAAATATTCCTGTTTGATTTAGTGTTGTGTCATTTATTCATCTCAGTCTTCATGAATAGAGTTGATAATATTTTCTTGGATTTTGAACTGCGTCTAATAACCTATGTGGTTTATAGCAAATCTTATGTCATTTTTGGTTAATATTGTGAGGATTCACACTGTCACAACTGTTTCTATGAAAACCCATTTTCAAACAACTTGATGTCCATATAAGTTTGTTACTGTTCTTGAGTGATGAGCTGAGATTTGTGAGGTTATGGAAAATAGAATTTTGATTTTTGGCTTTGCTTAAAAACTTTTGCAACAGCTTATGGATGGATTCCTTTACCTCAACAGGGAGCCTAGTATTCTCCCTGCTAGAGCCACTGGGCTTTACCACAGCATATATCTATATATGCAAATATAACTTTCCTAGTTATGTGTTGTATAATACGATTTTATTTCATTTAGTGCTGGAAAATATTTTTTATTATTGTCTGTCATTGGATTTGCACTAGCAGAATAGACATAAATCATGTTGCCTAAATCATCAATGTTATCTGAGAAGTTGATGCCTTGTGATTTAAGAACCTTGCTGTCAAGATAAAAATCTTGACTTGAACTTACGACTGAGAGTGTATGTCCTTCAATTTATCATACCTAATACACATACACATCATAACCAGTCTTGTGTATCTGTAATAAAATCTTCAAAAGGTGGTACTGAAGGCTGATCTTTCATCTTGTGAGCAGTTGTTCCTGTAGATGGTGCTTTGGAGTTTGCTTTTGTCTCTAAAGAACGTATAATGAACAGATATTCTGCACTTTTTTTTTTTTTTTTAATCTGGGCAGCCTAAAGAAAAGTGAGGAACTAGTTGTACTTTGTCCTTATACCCTTCAATACCTGGTACATTCACTTGACCCAGAATCATTGAACAGAGCTTCGTGTTTCTTGTTGATACAAAAGAAAAAATTTTGTTAATAGCTAGATTAAATGAATCTACAAAGTGGTCTGTACCCGTGGAAATTCAAAATCAGGATGAAAAGAAACAGAAGAAATAAAATATTTTCTTAGGTTTTTAGACTGTGATGCTGAACCTGAGGAAAAAAAACCCAAATGTTTTTTTAAAAAGTGCAAAGGAGTCACAAGTGAGTTCCCTGTGCTAGTGAAACAGTAAGAGAGCAGGTGCATACAAATGTGAAACTGATTCAAAAGTAAAAACAAAAAAAAGCCAGCCCAAAACCAAATTACCATAAGTTTCGTGAAGCTACAGTATCATATTGTCAGTTCTCATTATCCAGAGTCACGAAGTATTATGAAATTTTTTAATTAGTTAATTTTAGGGTTTTTTTAATCTACAGCATGCACTTGGTGCATATTTGTAATTTTTTTCACTACTAGCTGTATGGACAAGCACTGTATTACTTTTAAAGTAGTTTTTGATGTTCTCTCAAAATACCATGACTAATGGAATTTTAGGGAGGAATATCAAAAATAGTAAGACTTGGAGTAAAATTGGCAATGCTACCAGCTTAGCAGAGAGATTAACGAAGAGCTGATTGTCAGACTCCTTGAAGTACTCTTTAGGTTTCTGTGAAGTAAATTCTGTGTAAATTCTTCTGTGTTGCATGAAGAGATCCATGGCTATTAGAGAGCTTTTTTTTCAGAATGATATTTGAGATACAGTACTTGGTGAAATTTAAGAGGTGATGTGCTATCTATGACTGCTTGCGTTTATACTGTTTGGTTTTTTGATTTTTTTTTTCCAAATGATTTTTAATTGGGTTATGGAAGAGAGCAGTTCTCTGATCTTCATGATGTACAAGCCATGTGCTCTTTCATCTTGTTTTAAGGATTTCTACCTGTGTGCAGCCTGGGCCCATCACAAGTGGGAAGAATGAACTTTGGAAAAGATGTCAGCACTCTAAAATATTTCACTATCTGTGGCTTACAGGAAGGGTATGAACCCTTTGCTGTTAATACAAACAGAGACATCACCATTTGGCTGAGTAAAAGGCTACCTCAGTTTCTACCAGTGCCGCAAAATCATGAACATATTGAGGTTTGTGACCCTATTAAAATGTTTCTAGACACATCTTCCATGAATATCTTTGAATTATGTTTCTACTTTTGCACTTCTAGACAAGATTTTTAATGTGATACATTGACCCAATTCTGGACGAACCTTGCACCTGTTACAAATTTCTTGCGTTCAGTAGAGAAGCAAATAATTTAATTATTTGGTCGATGGTATTTCTTTATCTGTGAAATCTGTCACGTGTGTAAACATGAGATTCTCAGAGACAAATTCTACAAGATGTCCTCATTAAGAGCTCCTTGTACAGCGAGAGCTATGTTTGTAAACAACTTCCAGAAATTGGGCATTTCTACATAACAGATACTGTGTGTTCTGGTACACATGCTTTGTGAAGTAATTTTCCCATAACTAATTGGTTTTGATTTTAATAAATACTTATTGGCCAACTGTGTCAACACTTACGTCCCAATCAGTTGTGCATCTTGATGCAACTGAATTAATGCCTTGTAAGTGTACCATGAAATCCTTCTGAAATTGATGAAATAAGAACTCTTTTTCAGCTGATGTATATCACACTGTAGTATTTAAGAAATAATTTGCGTTGTTGCATAGGTACATGTATGATTTATATTAGTTGGTTTGTGTTCTGGGCAGGGTTGGATTCACATTGCAAAGAGTTATGATAAGAAAGGTCATTCCTTTGTGAGTGGGTTTTTTTATTGAACAATAGAACAATAAAAAACTCCACTTTTTGTAGTATTTATTTCGCTTTCAAATGGCAGCACGTGATTACAATACATTTGACGATTGACAGCATACTGTTGCAAGTATATGTAAGTCATGGCTGCTTATTCTAGAAATAGAAGTTGAATATTTACAGGGGGGAAAAAGCATCAGCTTCAAAACAACTACATCTTTACATTTGATAGGTGATGAGAATTGATGGCACCATAGACAGCTGCCCCTGCCTGAAGGTCACACAGAAGTCCTTTGGTTCACAGAACAGTAAAACAGACGTCATGTTTTTTCGATTAAGCATGCCCATTGAATGTGCTGAGGTGTTCTCCAGATCAGCTGCAGGAGGGTTACCAGGCTCTGGTCTTTTTGGCCCGAAGAATGACTTGGAGGATTATGATGCTGATTCTGATTTTGAGGTTCTAATGAAAACTGCTCATGGTCATCTAGTTCCTGACCGGACAGAAAGAGAAAAAGATGCCACAAAACCAGAGTTAAACAACCATAAAGATTATGTTCAAGAAAAGCCTTCACGTCTTAAACAAAGGTTAGTAGTACATTTGGCTTGCTTTTTTTTCTTCTTTTTTAATTTTTTCTTGAATAGTAGGAGAAAATGCCAGTCAGGTCTGCAGAGATTTTTCCCTAATTCTGCCCTAAATTTGGATATAACACAGTAGGCGGGACAGTTAACCTTCAAATGATTAAATTACATCATATGCAATATGTGGATTAAAATTAAGCAGAAAACTGAAAACATTTGTCAAGCTATTAGAAACCTGTCATTTTGTTTATTGTGAAGGCTTTTGTGATCATCACATGAAGTGCACTCTAAAACCATGGAGATCCATCCTGACAGAGCTAGGAGGTCTTCAAAGTGACATGGAATGTTTTTTCACATGGCTTCCAAAGAGCTGAAGGTGTTGGATAATCTTTATCTAGAAATGTACATTTGCTTCTTATCTCACTCAATGAATAATCATAAGAATATTCTGTAGCTGACATGTTCATTCTCCCTAATCTTTCTTATGGAATCAGGAGCAGAACACCTAACTTGATGATGCTGTGGAGATGCAAACACTGGGCAGTTATCCAGACAATATTACTGCAGCTTTCCATTCCTTTTCTGCTCTTCTTTACCAAACTTGGTTTGTTAAATATTTCAATTGCAGAATAAATCAGGGCATATGGATGGTATTTTTAAATGCATAAAGATTATTTAAGGTTCCACATTCTTCCAAAGTGACATAGGTGTTTAACAGCCTGATAATTTTTTAAGTTATGCGAGTTCAGATTCCAAGTAACATTTGAATATAGAGTTTAAGCTCAGAATTCATTTAAGTGCTTTTAAAAATGAGCTTGTCTCTTTCTCTTTTCAGAAGAATTTATTTTGTTTTCATCTACACGGAAGTAATAAACTAACTAGTGTTATGTATTAATAATGTAATAAATAAATATCATGTATTTAGGGATAATGTATCAATGTAAAGTTTCTTTGTGTGTGTGTATATATATATTGAGCTTTTCATATAGGTTTTGATTTTACTTATTTTATTACAGATTTATGCTCAGGAGGACAAAGCCAGATTACAGCACAAGTCACTCTGCACGGCTTACTGAGGATGTGCTAGCAGATGATAGGGATGACTATGATTATTTGATGCAAACTTCCACGGTATTGTAACACAGGATTGGTATTTTAGCTGTTTGCTTTTTGGTTTTTTTTTAAATAATGACATGTTTTTGCTTGAAAGAGTTTTGGAAACAGTGTAATTTTCAGGCAAAATTTTTAATTTAAATGTCAGTGGTAGTCCTGTACCACTGAAGTTGAGACCACTAAGTTCCTTTTGTTTTGACTTGATTGTCAGTCTAAAACAATTTCCACATGAAAAGCCATAAATTAATTGAATCCATTTTTAGAACTACTATTGATAACACCAAACATAAAAGAGGAAGAATAAATAGTTCTAGAATAATGGAATAAATAGGAAAAAGTTCACTAAACTAATAGGTCAATGTTTGGGACCATTTGAAAACATCTATACCAATTTTACTCAGCATTTATTTCATGGAATTCCCAGTGAAAGTTTTGTGCATCTTTCTCTGGCAAGATCAGCTCCGTAAGCACTCACTCTTCAATGCTTAAAAGAAAAAATACTTGTCTTTTGCGTGTAATCTCCTCTTTCTAAAAGATATTAGATACTAGAAACTGAGTCACCTCAGTATAAAAATTGTAGCTGCAGTACAAAAATAGCCTACAATGCGATGATGCAGAAGCCTACAATACAAGCATATAAGCTGCATCTTTAATCTTTAATCTTTTCCATCTTTTGTTTTAACATACATATGTTGTTGGCTCTATTTTGATTTGTGTTTATATTCTTTTGTTGCTTTGCTTATGAATTGCACTTGAACAAGCCTATGCTACTTTTGAAGACATGACATATTTTCAGATTTCAGAGCAACAAATTAATTCTGAATCAAACCGATACACTGGAAACGAATAGTAACATTAACTGACACTATTTTTTTTTATTGACAGTACTATTATTCAGTGAGAATATTTCCTGGTCAAGAACCTGCTAATGTTTGGGTGGGCTGGATTACATCTGACTTTCACCAGTATGACACAAGCTTTGACTTGGACAGAGTGCGGACTGTCACAGTTACACTGGGAGATGAAAAAGGGAAGGTTCATGAAAGGTTGGTTACAATTTTCTTAAAAAGATACATATTTTATACCCATAAAAGCAACTGAAAATTCATAAATTGTAAATCCACCCCATTTAATGTAATTGGGTTGATGTAAAAAGAAAAAAAACAACAACCCCCCCCCCAAACCAAAAAACAATTCATCAAAAAACACGAAAAAGTGTAACTTTACTTGTTCTCTTCTCTCTTGACTGTGAAGAAACAGTGGAGTAATGATCTAATCAAATCAGTAGGCACTGAAAAGTAAAATAGCATAGCTTTTCTATGTAATTTCAGGCAATGATCCCGTAAATATTGACTTCTGAACTGGTACAAAGTAGAGCAAAAAGCCTTGTTGTATTTTTGGAACTTTTTGGATTTGAGCAGGCCAAAATTAGTACAACAGCAGCTCCTCTCAGTACTTCACTTTATGATCCATGCCAGAAACTTTGTGTTATGCTTAACATTAAATGATTTAAAGCATTAACTTGCAAAGTCAGTTTTGTCTCTTGGAATTTTACAGAAGACTTGAACTTGTTCATATTTTCTCATCTTCAGTTTTATTTTTTCAACTAAGAAGTCTAGGTTTCATTGAATTTTGGCATTGGTTATGGTGGGATCTGCTGTTTTCAGCCACAAGGCCCTGTTTGTTGCAGTCATGCAAAGTTGTTCTTAGTCCACTACATAAAGTTTACACACCATCCATAAATAAATTTGTCTTTTGACATTCAGTATAAAACGCAGCAACTGCTATATGGTGTGCGCAGGAGAGAGCATGAGCCCTGGACAAGGACGTAATAATAACGGTCTGGAGATTGGTTGCTTGGTTGATGCTGCCAGTGGCCTGCTGACCTTCACAGCTAACGGCAAGGAACTAGGCACATACTATCAGGTGAGTATTTTTTGATGACGTCTTCCAGTGGGAATGGGGAAAACCAAATCCTCAGACTGCGTCTTATTAGAAACTTTTCGTAGAATCATAGAATCGTTTAGGTTGGAAAAGACCT